GCCTTTCCCTCCTTGCTCCCTCTGCCTCCCTCCCCCTCCCTCCCCCTCCCTATGAACCTTCCTCTTCCAGCTGCTTCTGCTGAGACCACATTTCTCCCTGGGTTTCTGGCCTCCCTCCCAGGTCCTGCCCTCCCCTCCTTGGCCAAGCCTGATCCCCAGCTTTTCACACCCAAATAGTCCATCAGGATGTTCTGCTGAATGAAAAGCCAGAACTCTGCCTCCAGCTTTTAAAAGAAGCTCCGTACTTAGAGAGCACTGACTGTGTGTCGGAGGACCCGTGGAAAGGGCTGGGGACCCCAAGACCCATGGGCAGGTACCCTCTGGCCCATTATGTCCGACTGTCCCATCCTGGGTTCCAGTCTCAGCCCTGAGGACCCCGCCTTGGCACACGTTTCTCTGGTTCCACCCGACAGACACGCTGCAAGATGCCACACACAGCATCCCAGTGGACTCGGGGCGCAGACCCACCCGCCTGTGCACGCCGTATCCATGAAAAAGCTCCCACACTCACACACACACGTTCACTCCGTGCTAATTCTTGCCTTTGATTGCGGCCTCTAGTCTGTCAGCACCACTCAGAGTTGACAAAGCAAAAGAAAAAGAAAAAAAGAAAGAAAGAAATCCGCCCTGTCACTTGGACTCCCCCCACCCCCGCCCCCGCCTTTGTATTATGGGTTTATGTCAAGGTGTGTTGGATTCTAAATTAAATGTCAGCCCACTGTACATTTCTGGCTCCCGCCGCAGAAAATGAGGAGCTGGTGTTGGAGACCATCCAGTTGTTCAGCTCCCCGTGCCTAACCGCGAGGGGTGACAAGCCCATTGAATCACTGCACAGTAGCTTTCCACGCCATGGGAAGCCAAGATAAATTTATTTTTAATGATAAATGTGACTGTCAGAGTTAAGTTGAGACAGCTTTACGGTGAGAGCTGAGTGCCCTCGGCAGCACAGGGCAGAGGCCGGGTGGACGGAGGCCAGAGGTCCCTACCTCCTGGCCAGCCGATCCCCTGGTCCCCAAGAGACAAGCATATTTGACATTCGGCCCACGTTCACTGAGCTCCTGCTGCAGGCCAGCTGCATGGCACTAGTCTCAGGCCCAGCTCTAGGCAACCAAGAGGATGGACGTGAGCGAGAAAGGGGGATCTGCTCCACAGGGCAGAGACCTGGGTTCAGATTCTGACCCCACCAGTTGCTGTGTGATCTTGGCCGCATCACTTAACCTCTCTGAGCTTCAGTTGCCTCATCTATAAAATGGGGATATTAATGTCACCCATTGGCTTCTGGTGAAGATTACATGAAATGAGATCTATTGCTAATGAATGGTCCACAGCACGTGAAAATGCTTCCTGAAGGGTAGCTATTATTTATATCATTTTACTAATCACGCTATTCCCCAAGTTACGTAACTTACCTTTTTGAGTCAGTTGTCTCATCCTTGAAATGTGGATAACGCTAGCTCCTGCGTTTCCGGGTGGCTGGCAGGATGCAGAGTGCTTGGCACGGGGCTCAGTGTTGGGATGATGCTCAGTGGGTCACAGCAAGTCAAACAGCAGCAACCCTGAACGTCATCTTGCCTCCTTGATGGGAAGGCTCTCTTGAGGTTGGCATGCTTTGCTGCCTGCCCTGTACCCACACCCCACTAAGAGAGGTGCCCTGCGCCAGGACCCCACAGCCATGCCCTCCATCAGACAAGGACACCTGTCTTCGGCCAGCTGACGGCTTATGATTGACATATCCTGGCTCCAAAGGATGAGTAGGACGAATCACAGGCCTTTTCTCTGGAATTTCAACTAAAAATCCCAGACAAGAGTTTTCTGTTGGTGGGACCATCACGTCTAGGTGGCCATGGGCAGGAAAGACAGAACACGGGGAGTTGGCGAGCCTGAGGGAGAAGGGTGAGGGGATGTGCAGGGAGGGAGTGGGCAGGGGTGCCTGGCCAGTTCCTGGAATGCCCTGCCTTGGACTGGCTGGAAAGCCCTAATACCCCTCTGATCCAGCTGAGCTCACCTGGGCTCATCTCTGGGGCTCTGCGTACACCAGCTTTGTCAAAAGGAAATCAGAAAGTGGGACGCTGTCTCCTCTGTGGGGTCAGCTGCGATTTTCTCACATGGATCTTGGGCAGATGACCAGAGAGCGGCCCCGTCCTCTCCTGAGACAGTGCCCCAAGCATGGCAGGAGAGAGCAGCATATAAGGTGTTGAACAAAGGCCTGCAAGCTCATGGCAGAGCTGTACCAGAGCCAACGCTTCTTCTGGGGGGCTGAGCAGGGGCATCACCCCAGAGTGGGTGATGGGTGAAGACCACCCCACACACTCACTCACCACAACCCAGAAGCAAGAAAGTGAGGAATCTGGCTGAGCACGTGAAATAACCTGACAGCGAACAGTGCCAGGAGGAGCCACTAGGTGGCCCCCGCTTACCTGTCCAACCGCCCTCCTGCAGGTCTGGGAGCAGATCCTCCAGCCAGCGTCCTCCTGTAGGCACCAGCCCATGCAGGCTACTGTCACTCTCCAACCTCTGCCTTTGCTTTGTGGCTTCACTGCCTGACACGCCTTCTCCCCCAACATCTACAGGTCCCCACCTTCACAGCCCAGTGCACACCCCCTCCTCATCCAGGATGCCTTCTCTGTCCACCCAGAGCATATATACCAAAACTCCGTTGGCCCCTAGCAGACATCCAGATTCTCAGTTCAGGGTCCGCCAAGGGCGATCTTCTGTCTGTGTATAAACACGTCTGGAGTTTACATCCTCTCCTCAAACTGGAATCACAGATTTGCAGTCCCAGTCTCCTGCCTGCACACCTCACAATCGCCCATTTAAAAGGGGGAAGTAGCGATTTCTTGTTCAATGAGGAAATTCGGGCTTAGGGAAGACAGGAAATCTGCCCAAGGTCATAGTGGGAAAGCTTGAGGCCTCGCCCTGCTCAGGGGCTTCAATGCACTGTCTCTTAGAACTTCACAAGAGCCTTTTTGAAGAGAGTACAGTGAAACTTTTGGCACCCGTAGGAAACCGAGGCTCAGAGGCACAGCTGCTTGCCCCAGGCCAGGACCCTGTGCTTTCCACCACACCCCTCTGCCCAAACTTGATGGTCCAAGCGGTCACCTGCCAATTCCTTTAACCCGCAAACAAGGCCTCAGGGGATAGGTGCCATCTAGAAAGAGCCACGGTGCCAGGACACTGACCATGGTCCCCTGACTCCTGGCCAGTTCTGAGGGACCCTCTCTGGCTCCTTGGGCTGCCTCCCTGAGGCAGTGGGGGTGGGGCTGCAGGTGAGGCCAGCAGGCAGCCCTTGAAAGAAGAGGAGGCTGGAGACAAACAGCTGGCAGGCTGTGAACCCAGCTTCTGGTGGGTAACAGTATGCTCATATGGCAAGGGGCAGGGAGTGCCCCCGGTCCCAGCTTTGCGTTGCCCCACACCCAGTCAGTCTCCCCCTCCAGTGAGGGGCCCGGGAGAGGGGATGGAAGATGGGGGCGACAGACTGGCAGCCAGTGGGGGAGAGACGAAGACGGTGCCAGGGAACAGCGTGGCGGGCCAAGGCGCCCAGGGAGCCGGAAGACAGCTTGGGAAGCAGG